AAATGTTTAGTGCATGAATTTTATTTTCCTGTAATATAATATAATGATTGAAATAGAACTCCACTCTGATCTAAGTTGGAACGGCAAAAGGCTACGAACAAAACATGCATGGACATTAAGCTAAATTTTTCCAGGATATCGGCATTTTGCTACTATATTTCAAACTGCCCATTGATTTAGTATATACGCAGCTTGTTGAACACGGAACCTGGGTTAAGGATTTTTAAGAACCGTTTTGGAAGCTGATTAATTTGTCAGTACGGGCGTTTAAACGGTATACAATTTTAAGAATACAAATGGTCTAACCTAATTATGATAGGGAACTTTTTAATCGTGCTAATTCTGGTAAAAGAAAATACAATATGGGCCCAAGATGTTCTTCGTTAACACGTTAACTTAAATGATAAGCTATCCACAAAAATTTCAAAATTGGACGATAAAAATTATAATCGTCAATCTCGGGTATATCTATACAGTATTTTAGAATTAGTAACGATTGTTTAGAATTATATCAAATATTGTCTCTATTACATGGTGTATAAAAAAAACAAATCAAATTTGTCAATAGAAATGATGATCTATTGTTACTGGGTACTTCTACTTTAAATTACTTATTTATCTTTCAGTTAGAGTCAATAAGGACACGCGTCTTGTCATATAGTACCCATAATACAAGTGTCAACTAACAATAACTATACCATTCACAACTTCTTTATTCAAAATACAGACTATTCTTAACTTCATTCATAGAGACAATAAAGGGGCGGTAACTATCACATTACTTCCGCCAGCTTTTCGACTCTCAAGGAGTGATCTATATAATAATTGAATTATATAAGATTGTAGGAGATGTCACCTATAGTTGGCTAAATCTATTATGCTACAATTATCTATATACCAATTGAAAACACTTCAAAAGTCAACCACGAGAAGCGAATTTTTCCAAAGATTAATCAAGCTAGGTTGGCATCGAGTAAAAAGCACTTTAGATGACTAAAGCTGCCAAAGTTTTCATTTTCTGCACTATGAATTTACAAGTCATGGGTGGGGTATCTGTTAGGTGTAAAAATTGTACCTTTCCTACATTCATTGCATACTTTTCTTCACAAAGTAAGGTTATATCATTTTACACAATTTTTTAAACAAAAATAATTTGACACTGTAATTGATATTTTAAACCTTTTTTAATAGTTGATTTGTAGCCGTATTTGTTGTAAAGTTATCGTTTATTGAATCCTAAACTGCAAATGTTCTCAACAAATCTTGGTTCGTTAATGTATTTCCTTCTTCCACCGAACACTAATCGTGTACCTTGCACCCCATTGCAAATAAATTCAGTGAAAATCGTATATATATTTTACAATTATGGTTATGTTATGTCATTTTTGATAGACAAACGACGATAAATTATACACAACAATTCCTCATAGCAATTTCGTGTTTCTTTTGATCAGGGAAAATATAGAAATATACAGTTTATATTAGTCTAATTCGGTTATAAAGTTACATATATTGTAACATTTCACTAAACGTACGCATGGAAATGTAATATAAAAAACAGCACTCGATGATAACATATTTTGCTACGACGACGAGGAATGCAAATTCCCTTTCTAGTTACACAGAGATAGTGATATGAAAAGGCATATCGGCTTTATTAACAGGGATCTTGAGATATTATCTAATAATATATTATCTTAAATATTAATATTGTGTGAAACATGTGAATCCACACTTCTAAGTTAAAAGAATAAGAAAACAAATCAGTCTCGATGAATAAATTTTAATATCAAAATCAGATACAAAACTGGCAGGACATTTCTTCGAACTCTCCGACCATCTTTTAGTAATAAGTATGATTTTATTATTTATTAGAATACACAAAACTTTGTTATCAATAACGTTTTCTGTACACAAGCACTTGTATAACAGTATAAAAATCGACACTATAATATACGTGTGAAAATCATATCAATAAAAGAACAAAGCAATGTCAATATATCATATAAAAGATATGATTAAAAAAATCGTAAATTAATAATTGATGAAGACCACATCTCACGCGCTTTTAGGTGACAAATAGCTCCGCCTCTTACAAGTCTGATTGGCTGTGGTTAATTTTTGATAGGTTTTATTCACGCGATGTATAACAATGGCGACTCGTCAATGTTTTCATCTCATCTTGACGGACAAGTATTACTGATTAACTACTATGTGATTTGCAAACAAATCGAAGTCAAATTTACGACAAACATCACTCGGTTCAGCATTGATCGACTTGAAGAACTGCCTGCTGTAATGGCTGTCGAGAGCTAAAGATAATTTACAGATCACTTTTATTGGACAAATCTTAGTAATTAGATTTAGGAGAAAAATCTCTACTAATTTTGTCTGTCATTTAGTTTTGACGTTTTACTGGTAGTTAGAAATTAGATTAATAAGTGAGAGTATTGGATGCCGTGTTTATCGCGATTTTCTCATTTAACAGAGAGTGTCAACACCAACAACTTAGAGTAATCAGATCAGAGGAAAGAAGTTAGCATCATACCCAATCAACATGGAAGACAAAAGTTTTTCAAATTCTGATTCGGAAACAGATGTGATAAAAACACCAGAAAGAAATGTGGCTCAGACATCAGAAATGGACAGATTTCTGAATTCAGACAGAATTCCAAATCCAGAAAGAATGGCACAAGGTGATTCAGACAGTGAAGATTCAGAAATAGACTGTGGTGAAGAAGAGACAATTAATTCTAAAAATATAGAAAAACAAACAGCGAAAATTTCACCAGTGACAGTTAATAAACCATCGTTTTTAATTTCTGATATATTATCTGATAAAGGACCTAGTCGTAATCATACAGCACCCTGTTTTCCTCATAGACGTCATTTATTTACTAACTCTTCCTTTCCAACCTCTGTACATGATAGTCATAGTAAATCTTGTAGTGAAACTGACTTGTTACTATCTAGAAATATATCAGTTGATAGTGACCATGACATATCTGAAGGTAAGACACGTTTCTTTTTTCAATTCCAATCTATTAATTGGTACAACTCAAAATGTCTGGGAAAAACACACTGACTAATGCTGTAAATTGTATCACATTTTGGGTTATTTTATATTTCATCTGATTTGTCTGACAAATCCGTTCGAAGAAATGAAAGTTTTCATCGAAAAATATGGCTATGTTTCAATAATTATTTACAAAACATGATCTTAAAATTTAGAATAAGTATTTTTGTCCATATTTGGTGCACAATTCAAAATATTCTTTATAAATAACCGTGTTATTACATAAGTGTTTTTGATATTTCTCCTTTTCAAAATACACTTTCAAAAAGCAAATCGTTCGTTTTTATTCCAAATATTCTCAAATATATATTCTGTTGTTTAAAAATATTTCCTATTATCAGTAAACATCTAGTAACGGTTGATATTGTTTAACAAGCTAATAGACAAAGTACTATATTATTTATAATATATAGAGTCAAACAATTAAACACTTTAGATGTTTCAAATATTGTCTAAATAATTTACTAAACTCTTGTATTGTATGGTATAATGTCAACTATTTATCTACAAGGATGTGTATTAGGCGTCAGGGAATAGGTAGAATTATCTATACTAACAAAATTCTTTACTTCGAATATCTCTTTTCATTTAAGACGTGTTTTTTTTTTAAGTTTGGCATGTCAAGCATGCTGTGTATATCAAGTCCCTTTTAGTTTTGGTACTAAATTTTTAATGATCCCAGACTGTTCTACAATTCTTTTGAACAATAAATATTTCTACGGCTATTGTTAGTAATAAAATGATTCCCTTTATTTTGTTATCTTTACTATTGATCAGTTTCATTATATTTCAATCATATCCTTTGGAATTATATCGAATTGATACCAAAATAAAAATCATTATTTACACACTGCAAGAAAGAAATTAAGACAAAAACAAACTATTCCTATATTAATATCTTGTGGGTTTTTGTTTTGTCTTTCTAAAGTTGAAAATCATTTTTTTTCTCATTCCTATCACCGAAGCTTATTGTGTGATTGGGTTGACCAAACTGGTATTGAAGTAAGAATTATATTGTCAGTAAGTCTACGGATCAAACAAAAAGTATCATCTTAAATAATTACAAAATAGTAACATCCAAAATGAATTAGCGTTTGCGTTAATTATTACTTTGTGTGATTTTCTGATACTTCAAATGCTTTTGGTCAAAATGTCTTCATTTTTGAATTGCTGAAATCAATTTCTGGTCGGTTGTCCCTTTTTGCATTTTTGCGCTGCCTGAAACACTTGTACTAACCAATTTGTAAGAATGTTAATTCATTTCAAAGATTGCGTGACGGAATTAGTTGAGGTATTGACATGAGATGAACTTAAAGTTTAAAATTACCAAGTAGTTAATCGTGATATATATCTAATACTCCATATAGCCCAGACTTCTCTACATCCATCGTCGCCAAAAACCTCCCTCAAACAATATCTTACATAGATCTGTTATTACTGGGTGACTTCAGAAGTCAAATAAGTCGAGACAAAATATTTTATAGACAAAATATAAGCACTTAGATTATAAGGTACATTATTTTAAAAAATGTAACCTTTTAGAAAATATATCATTATAAATTATAATTATAGGGTTAAACTACCATTGAATAGTGATAATCCATCTGATGCCAATTTTAGATAAACGTTTATTTTTAAACGATAAATTTGGGGACTAAATATTCGTCTAAAAACCTTCGTATTTTTTTGAACAAGATATACCTTCTTTTCTTCTCTGTGTATAGAGCCTTTTTTTTAAAAATTGATAATATTTTTAACTTTTATTCTTAGCTGGAATAAGTAATTTTATACTTTTTTACTCTAAATAGAGCCGATTATTGGAATTATATTAGAACCTAATTTCCGAACACCATGTTTTATTGCAGGAGAAGAAAGCGAAAAAAGTTTCACCAACTCAGAACATCCGACATCTTTATCAAAGCATAAAAAAGCAAGAAAAGCACGAACAGCGTTTTCAGATCATCAACTTGGTTCCTTAGAAAAAACGTTTGAGCGACAGAAGTATTTAAGTGTACAAGATAGAATGGAATTGGCGGCAAAATTAAATTTAACAGATACTCAAGTAAAAACATGGTATCAGAACAGAAGGTAGGATTTTAAATTTTTATAGAACCTACAATATTACTTTTTAGCGCTGGTTAGTGAACCATTTTCGCCATTTTCAAGGATTGATTTTGGTCTTGAACATATGTAAATTGTCTTCAGAGGTACTAGAAATGTACAACAATCGCATAATTTCGTGAACAATGCCTCAAACTAGGAATTTCGCTTTCTATTACTATATATTATGTCTCTTGTATATATAGTCTCTAGAAAAGATTTCATTTCAACTTTCAAACGCGGATAATTCTGGACACATAGGCTCAAATTTCAACTGTGAGCTGTGAACACTGTTACTTTAAGTAGCTGTATATTCTCATTCGGTTTATCCGCTTTATATTCTTGATCAACATGTTTAATGTTTTGATCCGGCAGTCATAATACAATGGAATTCTCCAAGACAAAATAGAATAGCAATATAAATACATGTATATTAAAAACTTTGGATGCCAATGAGCTAAATTAAAAAAAAAAACTTTGGTTGTTATATTATCAATATTTCTCAACATATTTAAAAGTTATTAAACATTAAAAAAATAGCTACCGAAATTCTAAGTTAAGCACCAAATTGACTTTTGATGACATTTGTTGAGCTAAAGGATGTATTAACTCAACAACTAGATTGGATTATATGTGCAATATCAGAATTTGAATAGAAATAAATATCGTATTTACAATGGCACGTGCAAATTTAAAGCCGAAATTAATCGTATAAGTTAAGTACAACACGGCATGTGTTTTTGGTGAAAGGTAACTAGCACGATCTTGCACAATCATGTGCATTAATTGAACATAATAACAGCTCGAATTGGGCATACAACTATGATTAAAAAAGATAATTTCAAGTTATTTCAACTATTGAGAAAACTTTCTGCCCGATTTCTTACTTTATCAATATGTATTAAGAACAGTTCATGCTGAAGTAGAAGATGTATAATACTATAAACTATCATTTTAATATTTACTTCTAAAACCATCCAATATTCTCTATATACATACTCAATAGCTTTATTGATGAATTTCAAATGGAGATGCGATATCTATCATCCGATTGATTGTTGAAAAATAAACCTGCGGGGATTCTTTCAGTAGAGAATTTTAAAATCCAATTTCAAGAGTTCAACGAGTGTGAATATGTTTTTAAGTGATGTAACAAACTACAAAGACATGCTCTCAAGTCCGATTTAGATGTTATTGAGGTTCGTGGGTCGAGATCTAATAGAAGAAAAGGGTGTATAAAAGTGGTCCCATTTGTAAGATGATACGAGTTTATTTCTATCATATTAAAAACGTAAGTCGATATAACAAGACTTTTCACTGTGCTTTATGTATACATTTATTCAATACTATGGTGGCTCTATTTACACAAAAGTCTCCCACAAGAGCACAAATAACAGCAATGTTATCTTATTGGTGGGTTTGTACAACTTTTGTACGACTAACCTGAGTTTAGTGACAAGAATATATAAGCAGATTTCTTCAAGGCAACAGTGATTTACAAGAGACAAATAGAATGTCACTGTAATTTTCACATCTTTAGCGACCTTGCCTAAAAAGTCTACTAAATGATATGTTTAAATGATATTCTACTCTTTTTTAAAGTTATATATATATATATGGATTTTCTTCGATCAAATGTTGATGCAGGAAAGAGCAATCAAACAGATATCTCATTAGGTGGCCCTTAAGTCTTTAATAAATAACGAATTGTCCTCTACTAAATACTTCAATAAAGAAGTTTAAATAAGGATACAAAAGGCGTATCACGAACATATTTTAATATGGCACGAAACGTCTTCTACCTTTAATCTCTGACTAAACATTACACTTATATAATTTTATGTAGAAAAAGAAAATTGTTATAAAATGAATTAAAATAGGATACAGCAGGTGGATAGGCTAAGATGAAAGAGAATTTTTAATTATGGAAAGGATTTGAAGAATAAACTTACTTTATTTTCATTAGGTGAAGATAAATATAGCAGTAAGAGTTATCACCACCTTGTAACCTTCTACTATCTCGGTGGGTGGCGCTACTCTATCTGACCACTTCATATTGCCAATAAAAACTTTCCACCCAAAGCCACAAAGGAATAAAATTACATCACTTTGTTACGAATTCTCCTGGATGTTAGTGTTCACTCATCTTTTAATTTCAATTCAAACATCTGATCAAAGTTGAAAAGACATATAATCGCCCTTTAAAAACACAAATTATAAATGTGACAAGTTTAATATAGTTGAAGCTAGACCCACCATTACTAAATATAGCCTACTAATTAAATCCCTTCTAAACAATATATTTATATTTAAACACATTTTCATTAAAATTTAATACAATACACACGTTTAATTTTAGTTTCAAAGACAAAGTTAACCGTTAATGCCAGCAGTTAAAGTCAATTCCAAAGCTTCCAAATTTTCAAACGTTACATTTATATCGAAATTTTAAATCATTCTATAAAGTTGCACCAGAAGGATGCATTGCTTGTTTTTTAAAAGTATTTGGATTTCATGCAGAAGTAACTTATGAAGTGCTCTTGTTAACTCTTGTGTCGTAATAGGTCGCGTGTAGAAAATCTATACCACCTAATAACAGCCTCTTTATTCATAACTGGTTAATAGAGTCAATTAGTGAAAGATTAGTTTATCAAGTCCTAATCTTCTCATCTAAACGCTGATTAACTAAATATCTCTTTAATGACGTCCTCGTTTTGTTTAATGAACTCTCTTGTAACTGTTTCTTCTTTATGATCTGATTTATGAACCAAACCTTCATTACGCTTGTCCTATTCCGTTAATTCCGTACTTCGTAATCGAGAGTATTCAGGCGTTAACGTCTATCTCCGCCATTCAAATATTACGAGAAGGCATATGGTGATAATACAAATACTTTATTTATAACGGGTGTGATGTTTAGAATAGAGCAATTAGTATTTAAATGACAAGAGTAGTAAGAGATTGTTCAAACTTTGTTGGTGACAGAAGTTTAGCCATAGGGCATATCTCATTTAATTTTAGCACATCTCTTTTCCAAACAGACGAACCGCCAAGTCAAAATGTGCAATAACATATCATGTCGAATGGTGGCTCTCATGTGAACTATAAATTAAACATTTAAAATACACCGTAGATTTTCTTTGAGTTGAAATTCGTTTTCCTCCGATACATCCTATCAGTGATGCCTTTTTAAATATAAGGAAGCATTCTGTACGGGTATTGGGTTACAGAAATGAAAATAGATATTACAGTTATTTAGATATATTCAATGTTGTAACGGATACATCTGATAATCTTTCCAGCAAATCCCAACTTGTTTAATAAAAAGGGAAGCCGACATTTTCAATAAATTGACTACTTAGAAATAATTAACTGTCTTGTCTTATAGGGTTAGAAAGCTTTTAGAAGAGTTTAAATCGCTACCTCTTCCCAATGATTCGAATGACTGCTTTCCTCAATAGACGATGTTCAAGGATCTGACACAAGCCTAATCAAAGACTGAGCCTAAATAAAATGGTAATGAAGCGACAAGTTGCGCCATTTGTATCCAAAGAAAACTAGAAACGTTGACTGGTTCCCTTAATACACACTAATGAACTGAAATGAAAAAGGCATTAGAAAATCATTGGAACCAATCACTTAATTTTTTGTTAAGTGATGCCATTTTCTTCCCTTTTCGCTCCTCTACATTTCTCGCTTTATCGCGTCGTTGGCGAAAGTTCTACACGTCTGGGTTTTGATGGTACAAACAAAACAAAATCATTCAAAATTTACTTCGAAACATCATCCAACAACAATTTAAAAGTATTTTCTTCTGTCAACAGTTAAGAACAATAGTTTGATTTTCTTCAGCGAACTTGAATTCATGAAAATTGAAGTGACTATACAGTTGGTCAATTAAGTGGAAAAATCTAATTGTCAAGAATTTTCAGATAATATCAAATACTATGTATCAAAATATATTATTAAAATTATAAAAGGCAAGCAAATTCGAAACGAAACACTACTTATAAAATATTCAGTTTTGTCTGTAAAAAGGTTATGGACCGACAACTACTCAACTCATAATGTCTACATTACTACTGGCAGAATCTGAGATCAACTGGATTTGTATAGACTGGCAACTGGCATAAACTAAGAGAATCTAAACAATCTCTAGATCTGCACACCACCACCACCACAACTCTCTGTTGTTGACGTGAGCGGTCAGAATCTGCGACCACGTGGTTTGTCGGTGTTGCTAGTATTTATTCCATTTCTCAAATGAGTGTTTCTCGTCTTCATTGGCCGACATGGTGCAGAAAAGTAGGACGTAAAACTAATTTCATTTCATTTCATTTTTAAAAAAGTGTTCACTCATATCGACAGCAACCAATGTTTTTCTTCTTCAAATGCTCATTTCTGATTTTTGTATGTTTTTCAGAACCAAGTGGAAGAGACAGACAGCTGTTGGTTTGGAATTATTAGCTGAAGCTGGAAATTATGCTGCTGTGCAACGAATGTTACAGTCAAATCCTTATTGGTCATCATATCATCCTGGTACTTCAGCCATGTTTTCTAATATGGACGCTCTTTATTATCGTCATGGGGTTGGTTCACTTCCAGTTTCCCGACCAGTTATACCGCGCATGTTTATTCAAGGTCTCCAGCAACATGTAAGCCAGATACCACCACCACACTGAAGTTGTACATAGTATATCATCATGATTTGTGACGTAGATGAAAAGGGGTAAAAGTAGGAAAAAAAACTATGCCGTTTGATGAGTAAGAATCTCTTTATCGTTAGACATTACTCTACAAAATAGATATTCAGTATAAAATTCGGCTATTAGGATCGTATTCATCTAGTGAACCACCATTAGATTGAGCCATGTATCTCCGAGCTACATCTGTGTGAACAAGTTTAGTTGAAAAGAATTCCTGAAAGCTGAAAGGGAGGATTAGTCTCGTGACCAGTATTGTCTATAGCTTTATACAGTGTTATGATTGTAATACTTAATATTATCATGTATATAAAATGGTTTTAATTGTTATTAATAAATAAATGGTCAGTTATCAATGAGCTGTTTATAATTTACGAGGATATTACCATGTTACCGATGTCACGCCTGTTAACAAAATAATTTATTTTGTCAGCTATGTCTGTTATGCTTTCACGATATCCCCTTTATACATGAATATTTGTAGGCGAAGCCACCGTTTACATCAAAATATAAATTTTAGCAATGTCACCGCTACGTATTGGAGAATAATTATTTATTTGTCAGCGATATCATCCAAGCAAATCATATTTTTCAATACACAATACTTTCAATAATAATTAACTATCAAATGTTACACAATTAATTTTTCAGCAATAATATCAAATGTTTAACAATAATTTTTTCAGCCACGCTACCAAATGTTAGACCACATATTTGTTTGAGATGCTAATAACAATTTAGACCATATATTTGTAAGCAATGCTATCAAATGTAAGACAATATATTTGTTAGCAACGTAGTCTCATGTTAGACAATTAATTTGTGAGCAATGCTATCAAATGTTAGTCGATCAATTCGTCAGTCATGCTATTAAGTGTAAGACGTTAAATTCATCAGCAATGCTATTCAATGTTAGACAATGCATTTGTAAGCAATGCTATCAAATGTTAGACGATGCTTTTTTGAATTTGTAATCAATGCTATCAAACGTTAGACGATTAATTAATCAGCAATACTATCAAATGTTCAACAATAAATTTCTCATTAATGCTATTCAATGTTAGACAATATGATAGCGATATGATGCTCTCTAATGTTAAACAACTTCAGCAATGCTTGCCGTAATAAGACAATAGTTTGTCAGCAATACTATCAAATATTAGAAAATTTGTCAGCGATGCCATAAAATGTTAGACAATAAATTTGTCAGCGATTCTTCTCAATTTCAAGACAATAACATTCTTTCAACAGTCTGTCAAGCTTACACGAATATAATTACAATTGTCAACAATGACATCAATAATTTACAAAAGATAAAAGTTACCATTGTTGACAATCCTGTATATTCATTAACACATTGCGGGATATATTTATTTTACAAGAAAAAAAACAGCTCTGCATTTTACAAAATTGCTGACTTTTTTGGAGGTAATAAACCAATATCTAAACATTTCGATGGATAATGTTAAAACGTAACTTCACTCGATTTCATCTGAAAGAAGGGACATAACCAAAGTCTTAAAATACAGTGAGCGGTTATAAATCATTAATTTTGGTTATGAAAAGAAGAGCACGCGATTAAATAAAAATAAATGAGGGAGGGTCCTTTAATCCGTTATTTAGTTAATATAATGTAAAAGATAGTTAATGTCTTCAAGGTATTTCAAGGGTATTTTCGTACATTTATTAGTCTTTATTAAAGTTATTGATAAATGTATTAGTTATGACACGAGGGACGGAAGATTGTCTAATATTAGAAACTGGGGATTAACAGTCGCTTAATTTCACTTAAAACATGATTTTGTAGCCAAGGTGTCTATGACATTCTAACTGACACTTCTATTTGACTGTATAACTTACCAGGCTGTTTTTATTCACACGATTTAAGTCTCTTTCTTCCATTCCTTGTTATTAAGGATCATTTAAGTTATGTTGAAGGTATTTTGGGGTTCAATCCGTACAGATTATTGTACATATAATCTTCTGTTATTCTAATAACTACATTCACAGTCTGTTAGTCATGAGTTTTATTAATAGGTACAAGATATCCTCATTGTTAAACAGCGCCGCCTGATCGTAATGAAGTTATTTTCGCGATTTCAGTTAATTGAATATGATAATTATTATTAATGATCTGATATTATATTAATATTGATATAATAAAAATTGGTCATAAACAATTGTAGCATGGATTGTTACAATCTGTATCCGAGAATTCAGTATCCGAGAAAAGAGACAGCTTACAGATCTGATGTTGCCGGAATATGATAGGACGACAGCCGATAAATTTCAGTATGTCAAAAAACTTTGGAAATAGCTGTTCGGTTTAAAAAAAAAACATTATGTACCGATGAAAATATTTGCCAACTGTAGCCAAATTATGACCAAGCTTGAAAACTTTACCTCGACTAGTTATCTCATCGTGCAACACAAATACTATTTTTTTTACATGTTTCTTTAAAAAAAACTTTGGTGCTTATTGATGGTCTAGGTGCCTTTTGATGTCCTAGATTCACTGGTAAAGATCCAATCGACTAACACGATGAAAGAAAACGGGTCATATGATCTCAAAAGTTCCCTCTTAAGGTCAGAAAACCACAAACCAGAATATAATTTGTGCCTTAGTTGTTTTTCTGTAATCATTTCTGTTCTACTTTCTGGCTACTTACATCGGATCTTGATTAACACAGAGGACTCAAACTCAAAGCGAAGTTGTATTTTTCCCTTTTCTGGAAGACCACAAAGTAGTTTAAATTTGTTATTCTGTAAACTTTGTTTTCTTTCTATAAATCGGATCTTGATTAACATAAAAGATGTAAAACGAAGTTTCAGCTCCATTCCTGTTATGATTATTTCTTCTTCCAAATACAGTGTACAAGTTGTCCGTTAGTGCATATTAGTTTGTACAAACTGTCGGATGATTTCATGAACTCTCTAATTTGAATCATATTAAAATAATTGCTGTCAAATAGTGGGTTATCAAGATCATGACATGAACATGAAGTCCACTGAGAGCTGGAGATTTTCAATTCCGCCACTATATTTACCATCATTATTTTGATTTGGTGTGAGATGTCTGAACACTTAATGCAGTTTATTGTTCAAATTTCATTTAAACATTTGGTAGAAATTAATTTCGATATTGCATCTTCTCTACTCCAACACAAAACATATTGGATTTTTATTGAAAACCTGTCGTTGACTTCTTTTGTAAGCTTTATAAACATTTATTAAATATTAAACGGGAAATCGCACTAAATGATTGGTGTCGTTCGGCTCGGAAATAGTTTAATCTAGTGGAAAACCTGATCATATTTAAAATCGACGAGACGTTTAGTGGAACGATATTATTGTTTAAATATTTTACGTCGTTTAAAAGCCAGGCTTTTTGTTTTCCACTATACATTACTCTTGGGGTAAAAGACTTTTATCCACATCAGCAAATCACCATTGTCTATAGAACCAAATCGAAATCATGACAGAACGTATGTTATATATTATTTAGGCTCCATTTGGTCATGCCGTAAGGGGCCTTTGTAATTTCTTAATCAGTCTGTGAGGTATGTATAGACAAGTGAAAGGCAGAGATAATAGTATATGATGTTACGTTAAAGTGTTTTTCGAGTTCCGCTTCGGCTCCCCACAATAAGTTTGTAAATGATTACTGAAATACAAGCGGTGGAACTAAGGCCTAGTGAATTATTGAGCAGTATTGAGTGTTATTCTCCATTGAATCATTATAAAGCTCCGATTATTCCATGTATGTACTGTTGTCGATGACGTATCCAATTATATTACATTTTTTGTTACAAAGTGAAACAATGGATTACGTATAAACATTAAAAAAATAGAATTAGGATGTAAACATATTTGTTATGAGGATAGTGTAAAAAAAAAAAAATCACCGTTTACCTCGCAGTCCTGACATCCGTGACAGTAATACAATTAGACAGAGATGTTTAATAATAAACACTGTCTATAGACTGAGATATTTAATAGTTAACACTGTCTACAGACCCAGATATTTGATAGTTAACACTATCTACAGACTAAGATATTTAATAGTTAACACTGTCTATAGACTAAGATATTGAATAGTTAACACTGTCTATAGACTGAGATATTTAATAGTTAACACTGTCTACAGACTGAGATATTTAATAGTTAACACTGTCTATAGACTGAGATATTTGATAGTTAAGACTGTATATATATTGGGATATTTGATAGTTAACACTGTATATAGACTAAGATATTTGATAGTTAACACTGTCTACAGACTAAGATATTTAATAGTTAACACTGTCTATAGACTGAAATGTATAAAAGTTAGCACTGTCTACAGACTGAGATATTTGATAGTTAATACTGTCTACAGACTGAAATATTTGATAGTTAACACTGTATATAGACTGGGATATTTGATTGTTAACACTGTCTACAGACTAAGATATTTGATAATTAACACTGTACACAGACTGAGATATTTGATAGTTGACACTGTATACAGACTAAGATATTTAAAAGTTAGCACTGTCTACAGACTGAGATATTTGATAGTTAACACTGTCTACAGACCGAGATATTTGATTGTTAACACTGTCTACAGACTGAGATATTTGATAGTTGACACTGTCTATAGACTGGGATATTAAATAGTTAACACTGTCTACAGACAAAGATATTTGATAGTTAACACTGTCTACAGACTAAGATATTTGATTGTTAACACTGTATACAGACTAAGATATATGATAGTTAACACTGTATTTAGACTGGGATATTTGATAGTTAACACTGTCTACAGACTAAGATATTTGATTGTTAACACTGTCTACAGACTAAGATATTTGATAATTAACACTGTATATAGACTGGAATATTTGATTGTTAACACTGTATATAGACTGAATATTTGATAATTAACACTGTATACAGACTAAGATATTTGATAGTTAACACTGTATACAGACTGAGAT